AATTCGAGAAAAAGGTAAAACGGTTAATATCGATGGATGGAACAATCAAGGGTCCGAGAGCACGAATGCAAAAACGCCAACGACTTCGTGACCACTGTGTACTCCATACGGTGTTCAAGCACAAATGCGGTCAATCCGGGAAGACAAGTCCAAGCAATTTGGTCCTTCGGTGATATATGCTCTTATGATATGTCGTTACCTGGCCATATCCAAAGTATCGGAAAACAATAACTGCCAAAACAGTTGGTTTACAGACAGGCGGACAACACGGCCAGGCCACCGGAGGCGGAACGGGCTCAACAGGCATTCTAGTGAAGTACCACAGAACATGCTGTCAAACATCAGTTGTCCGGTTTTCCTATCAGATGTGAGTGACAACGCGCAAATAACAGTGGTCAAGCACGGTCAATCTTTCGATGTAGTACAAGCAACCCGGACAGGGATCTGACCCATACAATGGCCTTCATGTGATGTTGTAAACCCTTTACTTCAGTTCAGTTCAGTTGAATAACTATGAGCAGCGCACCGAGGTGCAGCGGGGATAGTTGCCATCACTCACGTCTCTAGAATAACAATAAAAAACAATGCCAGCATAGTGGGGTTGAATGCAAATAGTGTAAGGAAAATGGGAGCAAGGAGGTGCATTAAATTAATCAGAATAGAACGAGAAAATTAACAACCAAATGCAGGAACGCCGCTGTGCGTGACTACGCCATGTCCGACACCGTCTCTAACCATTGATGTGGATCATCCCGACGCTCCCATCCAGAAAGACGACACGCACCAGTCTGACCAAGTCTCTCTGTCAATTTCTTCATTTCTCTATGCCGCGCCATGGAGTGGTCACCTAGCAGTTTCACCCAACGTGGCGCAGCCACGACGTACAATGCACGCCGAGGAAGCCGGTCAACGGGCATAAGGAGAACATGACCTAGCCAACGTAAGCGATTAAGATACAGTAAACAGTAGTGTGTGGAACCAGAAGGCTTCTTGCCAAAAAGCAAATGGCGGACAACAGCATTGCTCACTCGGTGTTGCCACCACACATCAGCAA